CTGCCTCGGCAACCCAAGGAGGGGTCGCTATGAGTCTGGGCCGACTCGACGGCACATAACAACAGCTGATCACCGAGCCCTCTCCAGTCAAGCTGGGCCCTACGTCCAGGGCCTGGCCCCACACAGGCCCTCCACACCTGCAGAAGGGGGTCCTAGTGTGCCCCTCAGTCTGAGCCCAGAAGACAAGTCAGGACACCACTGGCCTCCGGCCCCGCCTGTCCCACTGCTCAGGCCAGCCCTGCCCAGCCCTTCAGCCTGTCCCCTGACGCCCAGGGCTGCCCCGAGCAAAGCTGGCATCTGCCAGTCCTCCCAACAGCCAAGCATCCTGAAGTGGATGCAGCATCTTCCTGCCACTGCCCACCAGGGCCTCTCCCCACCACTGTACGTACCAAGGCCACCAGCCATGCCACCAGCCCCAGATCCTCACCACCCACCTGGATCACAGGTGCCCTCGCTCACTGGGAGCTGTGCCCCCCCCCTCCGGGGCACCTCTCCCCCGTTTGCAGCCAGTTTCCCACTGACCACAGGCCAGCCACCTTCCCGGCCTCCGTGGGGCTCCCCTACACAGCACTGCCATCCACTGCCCCGTGCCCGTGGCTGCCCTCTCGCCCACAAGATGCTGGCTGGCCGTGAGCCACAGCCTCCAGGGCCCAGGGCCCCACTTGTCTGTCTGCTGTGGGTGCAGGGCCAAGGCCAGAGCTTACCTGCAGGTGGGCCTGGGAGTCCGAGGGGTGAGGCCACTGCTCCCTGCACCAAAGAGAACCTCAGTCAGTGGGTAGCATGGCTTCCTGTGTCCTCCACCCACAGGGAACCCAAAGAGGGAGCCCAGGGTAGGGGCTGGCACGCTTACGAGAGGGCCGGGGCTCTCAGTCCTTGGGCCCTGCGGCACCAGGACTTGGGCTGGCCACTAGCCCCGAGACCCAGCCCGCGCGCACCTGCTCCCTGTGGCACGTCGGAGGGTCTGGGGGCCAGGGCACGTTCAGCGTCTGTATAAGCACACTGCTACCAGAGTCCAGCGCTGACCAGCTGTCCAAGTGGAACAGAGCCCACACAGCCCCCAGGAATTGCTGACCCCTGAGGATTGAGCCAGTCCTTGGAAGTTTGGGCAATCTACTTCCGTAGAGATACCGCCTCAGAAACCCAAGGAGGGGCCGCTGTGAGTCGGATGCGACTCCACGGCAGTGGGTTTATAGATGGAGCCAGGACTCCAGGAAGCTGGCCGGGGAGGCCCTGGCTGAGATGACAAGGCACCCCACACCTCGGTGCCTGGGGCGGTACGAAGGGCGAGCTCGTTTGACTGCCTGCTGACCGAAAGGCCTGGGGTCGAGTCCACCCAGAGGCGTCTCAGAGCAAAGGGCTCGTGACCTACTTCTGAGCATGCAGCCCCTGAAGCCCCTACTGCACGTAGCTCCCCGCTGACGCTGTGGGCACCAGCTGGTTGGGTTCAAGTTTGTGGCAGAACCTGGAGGGCCAGCACTGGGGCCTCAGAGCCTGGGGGGGGGGTTGTGGGCGAGGGGCAGGCCCAGGGCAGGCTGTGGGGAGTCCTGGGAGAAGGGCCCCCACTGAGGCCCAGGCTGGGGGCAGGTAATCGGGAGGTCCAGCAGCCCCGGGGCTGTAGAGGGAGCGCCCCGAGCCTGAAGCCAAGGGGGCCTCATGGGGGGGGCAGGCTGGGCTCATTCTGGGAGTGGGAGGGGGCATCAGCAGCCGGAACAACCAGCCTGGCGCTGATCAGACCCTGGCCGGACCGTCACACAGCGGTTGGCCACTTGAAGGTGTCTGGGCCACGGGCAGGGCGTGTGGCAGTGAGGGGGCATTAACAAGGTGAGGAAAATGCCCGCCGTACACTCAGGCCTCCGGGGGCCTGTGCTGTGCGAACCCAGCAGATGTCATGGGAGAGGGAAGTTTCCCCAGACACTGCCCTCGTCACCAGGTGGCGGGGGTCCCCCTGACCCCCCACCTAGAGCACAGGAGGCGGAGGACAGGCGATGGGTGTCAGTCCATCTGATTTCCCAGCCTGCCCCGAGGAGGGGGCCGAGACCGGCCGCGCCGGCTGACGGAGCGAACCTGGTCCTGGGGCCCTGATGCCGCCCGGAGCCGCGTCCCGACTCCCAGCCAGGACTGAGGCAGCAGCACACGGGGCGAGGCAAGGCTTGGTGGAAAGGCCAGCCCGCCCCAGCAGGGGCGAGCCGTGCGGCCCCACCCTCCCGGGGCCACCACAGGGCCCGGGGGAGACTGAGGGGCACCATCAACTGCACTGGATGGCCACGCCCAGCACTTCCCGAGGGTCGCCGTGTCAGTTGCTGAGCTGGGGGCTGTTGCACGCCCCAACACAGGTCCCCCAGCACGGGGGCCACGGCCACCCCTCCTCCAGGCAGGGCGGGGACGGCAAAGCCCCCACAACCCAGCTCCAACTTGTCCTCCCCCCGCTTGGTCTGCCCCTGCTGTCGCCGGACAGTGCCTCCTCCCTGCAGCCCTGCCTCCCGGGCCCATCACCCACTGCGGACGAGATCTGAGGCTCCAGGCCCACAGCTGGACAAGTCACTGCACCCCGGAGCCTAAATCTGCTCCCGGGGGGGGGCTGCACCACCCCTAGGCCATGGGGCAGGGGAGGCTGCACAGGGCTGGGAATGAGACGGCGTGGACTCATAGCCCTGCCCGCCCCCCACGCTGGCCAGTGCCGGAAGCCTGCTGCCCTCTCTTGCATCATGACTGAGGCAGAGATGACAAGAGCAGGGCTGGTGGTGGCAACCCCGCTAGTGACACGTCGACTGAGCACCTCCTCACCCTATCTCGTTCGACCCTCTCAGCACAGCCCACAAGCAAGGGTGATCACTCCCGTGTTATGGGGAAGGAAACTGAGGCTCAGGCAGGCGGCCTGACTGGCCTGGGGCCACCCAGCAGTGGGTGATGAGGCAGGGACCCAGCCTCAACCAGGGATGTGCAGGGCTGGGGCCGTGCTTGTGATGGGGGAGGTGGGCAGGGACTCCAGGTTCAGGACCAGGACCGGAAAGCAGATGCATGTCCCTCACCTGGACATGCGGAGCCTCGTGCCTGAGCCCGAGGGGCCACCAAGGACCTGCTTTGGTCTCCAGAAGCATAGAAACATCACATGTGTACACATCTGTGTGTACACATGTCCTCATGCAACACATGCATGCACGTATACCCATGCATATAACTGCACAGCACGCGCATGTACGCAGGCAAACACATAAATGCATACACATATAGCCACATGTTCACTTGCCACACATTCAACTCCTGGTCCATGAAACATGCACAGATATTCACGCACATGCACAGAAACCCACACGTGCATGCAACGCACAATGAACACGTGTGTACACATGTTCACTCAATGCTTGCCTGCACATGTATGCATGCACACATCTACACACGATACACTCACATATACATGCACACACACAAACTCACACACTGCACACTTAATCCCTGGTCCATGGAAACATGCATGCAGCACTGACATGCACACCCTTGTGCGTGCACACCACATATGCATGGACACACGTTACACACTCCACCCCTGGCCTGCACACACATGCACATGCCGCACCCGTGCACGCGTGCACACGCACACAGCAGGTCCCAGGGTGTCTGCGGCAGCCGCTCACCCTTCCTCCCTGCATGGCATTCAGGCTTCAGATGAGACAACACAGAAAGGGCCCGCGCTTCAGGCCGAGGTCACTCTGTGACCTGTAGGGAGGGTGGCCAGGCCCCTGGGGATTTCAGATCACCCCAAGGACCAGGCTGGGGGACGGCTGGGGGGCACAGCAGGCTAGGCAGATGGAAAAGACGAGACGGTAAGAAAAGAACATTTTATTCAGTTTCAGAAGGTATTACAAACGGTGACAGGCTTGAGAAATGTCACAATCAACATCGTCCCCCACGCTGAAGGTACAAGCCTGGCTTCACAGGCATGCCGGTGACCCCTGGAACAGAGCCGGCCCAGATCCCAGAACCAGAAAGGCCCACGCCCACGGCGGACACAGGCCAGGCCGCTCACAGCACATCTAAAAGCACAGAGCCAAGTACGAGACAGCACAAAGCAGCTGGCGTCCATGCAGTCTGAGGCCACGGCCGGTCGCACACGGGTTACTCGGGGCCACCACAGGGGCCCTGCCTGCAGCTCCCCACTTCCAAATGCAGAGGCCTGGCCCCAGACACTCCCAGTGAAGCCTGCCTGCCTCCATGCACTCACCCCTGGTCCTGGGGACCAGCTCCAGGTCCCCAGGAGGAGGGTGGCCAGCAGAGGTAGGCTGGGCGATGGCCTCCCCTAGCCCGACAACCAGACGAACAGGGTACATACAGGTGGGAGAGCTGCCGCCAGACCCTGCCCCTGCCCCCTGCCCACCACGAGGCCTCTAAGGGTCCCAGGAAAGCCCTGGTGGGGACTACACCCCGAGGGTTCCGGAACCCCGAAGACCTGTGTGCGAACCAGGGCCTGCAGGTCACGGGGACCTCTGAGCGTCAGTTTCCTCCCCGTGGGCGGGGTGAAAGGGAGAGCTTCCGACAGGCAGAGGGTGGTGGGCCCCTGGGGCCGGGGTCAGGGCGGATGCTCGCAGGGGCGGCCTACCGCGGAATTAACCACAGCAGCCCCGGGTGCTGGGCACGGGGTGAGGGTGGAGCTGAGGAGGCAGCCGGGTGTCTCGGCCAGTGAAGCCTGCGCCCCCAGCACCCCAAGGTAGGAGCCAGCAGGCCTGCAGCGTCCACTGAGCCCGGGTCCCGGGGTGCAGGGACACAGCCAAGGAGGCTGTCCCCAAGGCTCCACCCAGAGCCTCCGGCCTCTCAGGGCACCTTCCAGCTCCTTCCAGACAGGCCTCCACGGGGCTCCCATTCCATCCCTGGCCAGCGCTCCCTCCAGACGGGGGCCAGGGCTTGGAACAGCACAGCACAGAGAAGGTGCTGTTAGGAGGCCGGCCACCCTCCTCTCCCGTCCGAGGGGCCAGTGGACCCCTGGTCAGTGGGGCCGGCGGCGGCCCTCAGGGAGGGGGCCTTACCTGCAGTCCTCCACACACAGGGCACGTGGAAAAGCAGGCCGGACCGGGCCCCGTGTGGGGGCCGCCCGCCTCCCAGGGCTCGCCGGGTGCCGGGCTGGGCACTAGTGCCTCTGTTGGTGGCCCCCGCCGTTCTGTGCCCAGCCAGCTGGAGGGAGACCCCGCGGACGTCTGGCCACTCAGGTCCCCGGCCGCAGCGGCGGCTGCGCCCTCATTGGGGCCACCCTGGGAGACTGGGCCCTGGTCCCTGGGAGCCTGGCGCAGGCTGCGGGGCGTGTCGTAGTGAGGCCGTGGAGTGCCGGGCACCTGGTACTCAGCCACCCGCGGGGCCGCGCCAGGTGGACAGGCGCACAGGCCGGGCTCCGGTGCCCCAGCCACGGGCGGCAGGCTGAGCAGCGAGCCGAAGTCGTCAGCGGCCGGCCACACATCCAGGCTGCTGCCGGCGTAGGACGAGAAGCTCCCCGAGTAGGACGAGTGACTGCCCGTGGCGATACCGCTGTCCGAGGAGCCCTGGCGGCCGACCTCCTGCAGCTGCCTGGGCCGCAGCGGCTTGGCGGGGGGCTGGGAGGTGCCCGGGGCCGCCTCCCCTGCAGCCGAGGCCTCGCCTAGGTGCAGGGCCCGTGTAGTGGCCGGCCCCGGCCCCTCCTGTGACGTGCTGGCCGAGGACGAGGACGGCTCTGGCCACGGGGCCAGTCGGCTGCCGGCGCTGATGTCCGAGTGGCTGGCCTCAGAAGACGAGCTGGACAGGCTACGGTCGTCCCCTGCAATGCAGAGGGAGGGCCTGCTCAGGAGGGCTGGGGGACTGGGGGCCCTGGGATGTGCTCAGAGTGGGATTGGGGGCCCTGCTGAGGGACCAGGGAGTGCTGGGGGGCCTGGGGTCCACTCAGGGTGG